AGGCTAACCTCGCCTACACCGTCGAGACCGCCTACCAGCACGGCACGCCCAAGCTCGACATCGCTAAGCTCGACTCCGAGACAGCCAAGAACGACTTTCAACGACGCCTGCAGCAGATCCAACACCCCCCCTGGGAGACCAACCTCAACGACCATACTAAGAGCATCGTCGATCAGATAAAGGACGCAGCCTACGCCAGCTTCAAGAAGCAGCATCATGCTCCCCGCAAGCCCTACATTACCGAGGCCTCCTATGCGCTTCTTCGATTCCGACGCACCCTCCTCAAGACGATCCGCATCGTGAAAAGGAATGGCATTGGCTCCAAGAAATCACGCAGACGGATCCGATACACCGCGCACCTCATCGCAAACCAGTCGGCTTCAGCGTCCCCTGACGACGTCATCCACCTCATGGACATCCCTGGATATACTCAGCTGATGATCAAGACCATCCTCTTCATCAACCACGCGGACCCCGACCATACCACGGCTCCACACCACGACAGCACCTACTGCACAACCACCTTCACTACTGATCTTTTCGACTCATACATGAGATTCATCCAAGATACCGACCGCGTTCTCAGAAACCGCCTCGACCACGACCGCGACGCCCACCTCGAGCGCTTCTCCGACAACATGATATTATCAGCCGCAGGGAACGCCCCGCGGCAGGAATGGGCAAACGTGAGGGCCTTACTCACATACGGCGGCCGCACACCTAAGAGAACTCCGACCCCAAAATACGCCAAGACGATGACGGCGCTCCACTCACGACGCCACAAGCCATTGCGGAGCACGCCCTTCGATACTACGGCAACATCGAGAACGGCATCAACACCGACATCGAAGGCGTCGTCACGTACTACAACAACAAGACTGCGCACACAAAGCCGATCCCCCACATCGACAACGTCCAGACCATCCACAACCTGACATCCGCCCTGGCAGCCGCCAAGAAAGGCAAACGCGGCGGGCCCGACGGGAACACCGACGACATGGCACGAGCAGCGCCGCGCCAGATTGCCCGACTTCTGCACCCCATCATGATGAAGATGCAACTGATGACGACGGAGCCCATTTCGGCGAAGGGCGGTTTCTCCACCCATTTCTCCAAAGGACAAGGACAGCTTCATCTGCAGAAAGCCTACAGGGGCATCCTCCTGAACAACACTATTGGCAAGATCAACAGCAAGTTCCTGAGAGGCCTCTTCCGCGACATCTTACCCGACCTGCTGATGGACACACAATGCGGCGCCGTCCCTCACAAGGCGACTGACTTCATCACTCACACCGCCTACACCTTCTTGGACGACTGCCGTACGCAGGCTCGCACGGGCAGCATCCTCTTCCTGGACTTGAAAGAAGCCTTCCATTCGGTAATCAGGGAGTTCATTTTCCAGCTGCCGACCCAGGAGGACGAGCTCGAAGACGTCATCGACAACATCGAGATTCCCATCTGCCTCCTCCCCTCCCTACGACAACGTCTTCGCTGTCCAGCACATCTCAACGCCCACGTCGACGACTCTCACCTCTGCGCCCTCGTTGCCGACCACCACACGGCCAACTGGATGACCGCTAAGGGCACCGACGCATACGTGATCCCTCGCACCAGTACCAGGCCAGGGGTGCCATACTCCGACGCGGCTTTCAACATGCATTTCTCCCTAGTGCTTCAGGCTATCGCCGACGACACCGATGGGGCAGAAGACGGCGAGAGCGGCCACCACATCCGCCCCTGCGACAACCCGCTCTTCTCTACGGCTCCTCATAACGGCGGCAAGCTGACCAACATGTCCTTCGTCGACGACCTCACCGACTTCAACTCGACCACCCGCCACTCCGACATCATTGACGTTACAAGAACTTCAGCCGAACGCCTATGCCGTACAGCCTTTACCTACGGGCTCAAGCCACACCCAGACAAGACCAAGGTCATCATCTCCTTTAACGGAACGGGCTCCAACGTCGCACGCAGTAGGCTTGCACAGCAGAACGTTACATCAATCCAGCTGAGCATCATGTCGATCTCGGTCCAGATCACAGACCAGCACCGACTCTTAGGCACCATCCTCACCAACGGCAGCATGGGCCCCGAGGTGCAGAATCGCATGCGACGAACCGATGCTTCGGCACGAGCTCTCGAGAGGCAAATCCTACGACGTCGACGCCTACCCCGCAAAACGAAGATCAAGTACGTGCACGCCCTCTCGACTGCCTCATTGACCTTCAACCATCACGTCTGGCCAGCACTGACCCAGACTGACCACCAGCGCATCTCCAATGCCTACTCGAAGCCCTATCGCACGGCAACTGGATTACCCAAAGCTAACTCGCAGCTTCATCATTTCACGGCCACCGAAGTAGTAGCTTACACTGGCATCCCCGACTTCGACCACCACCAGTCTGCTGGACGGCTGCGATATTTACCACGGCTTCTACGACACGCTCCTCAGCAGCTCCTCCAACTGCTTGACAACCAGCGACGGAGAAAGGGCTCATGGACATACATGCTTTTCCAGGACTTCGACTTCCTGCGCACATACCTGGACGACCAGCGCTGGCCCACGACCAGCAAGCTCGACTCCGATGTTTTTGCATGGGCTCGCACCACGCCGAAGCACTTCACCAACTCCGTCAACCTGGCCGTCACAAACTACATCCGCGCCTCCAAAGACCACGCCCACGCCGACAAGTTGACCAAGGTGCTCAGACCCGACGGTCCCATTGGCGCGGGCCCCACGCCATCACGCGACAACGGCGCCAGCAACTTCATCTGCTACGAGTGTGGAATCGTTACCAAGACCAAGCAGGGCATGGCAATACATATCGGACGTGAACACCGACGACCTGATCATCCGCGAAACTGGGCATCGGGAACATCGTGCAGAATATGCCGCCAGAACTTCCACTCCTTCGCCAAACTAGTGAAGCATCTAACTACGGTCGCCCGCTGCCGACGGTCATGGCACCTGTGGTATTTACAAGGACCTGCCCTCACGGAGGAGGAAGTGGCCACCAATCAGGCGACCTACGCGGCCAGCATAGCCGACAACAAACGCAGAGGCCGCCCCGAACTATACCACCCTATCCCTGCCCATGCATCCGACGTTACTCCCTTGCCCTCCCTTGACCTATCACCTTCACCACCGCCATTCTTCCCGACTGTACCAGCGCTTACACCACCACCACCAGCCTACTACCCTCGGACACCGACCAGAAACAGATCTCTGCTTTACCTCACCAACACCGATAGACACCCGAACGATCTGCTCGACATTACGGACCAACGACTATGCTACAATGGAATGGTGATGGAACGGGTTACTCTGACCTTCGATGATCTCTACTCTGTCGATCACCCATCCCAGTACGACGCCCTCGACTCGATCCACCAGCACATTCGACAAGGCGACTTCGCGGGAGTGATGATCAACCTCTCACCCAGCACTTGGATCGACCAAGTCGATGGCGACCCGCACGACAGAACGGCAGCATCTTCCAGAACGACCACGGACCCTTGGGGCAGAGTAAACCTTGGAGGTGAGGCAGCCGAACGTCGACTGATCGCGAACCACCATGCCCGCCTCGCCATCCACACCTTCCATGCTGCTCACGTTGCCGAAGTACCAGCACTACTAGCGCAATCCGCAGCCCCAGCAGGTCCGTCAGTGATGTGGAATACCGAGCTGATGTTCTACGCTACGGAGAATCTTGCTACGAGACGACCGACCATGGTAGACGCCACCAGCAGCCTCTACGCCATCTACTGCGGCCTCTCCCAGGAATACGGCAATCCCCTCGACGATTTCATCATTTCCATTTTGGGCAGTCTGCCCCAGCTTGAGGTCGGACAGCAGCCTGCTGATCCGACGACCCGATCTGGCCGTAACATGGCCCATGATGGTCGAGACAGGCGCCCACCACGGCAAGACTGCCGTAGCGCTCAAGGTGGCCGCCAGCCCCATCCTGGACGCCCCCTCGAGGGCGAGGGGGGGGAGGACACGGTTCAGGCCTGACCGACCTGGGCCGCCGCCTGCGTGCAGGCCGTCATGGGGGTGGCTTCCCTTCCTCCTCTGGCCTAATGAGCCCCCTCTTCCCGCTCCATCTTGCCACCCCCATGCGGCCTCTCCCTTATCCTCCATCAAGTCATCCTCTTTCTTCCCTCCTCTGTCTCGGTCCTTTTCGGCCCCCGCCCCTCCCCTTTCGAAGCCTAGGCGGCTTTCCCTTTGTCCTCCTGGCGGGGGTCTGTGTCGGGGGGTGGTCCCCCCTATGCGCTTCGGGCGCGCGCGCGTAGCTCGGGCCGCGCGGACGGCTGCGTCCGACAGGACATCGAGCCGATAGCGATAGCGATAGCGATAGTTAACTACTCGCAGATGGCCTGGATGCGCCGTGGGAGATCTACGACCCCCTGCATGGAGAAGAAAGACCCGTGCTCTCTGCTCTGACCTCTGCACTTGCGAGTCGTCGGGCACTCTGCGAGTCGCGGAACGCGTTCGGTGACTGGAGACTTGAGCAGGGACCAGCCGTCCCGGCATTCCTATAGGCCTACCACGAATCGTTCGATGCTTAGAACCAAGCAAAGATTCCAAGAACCGCAACAGTGTTCTTAAAGCACAGATCCGATGTACGGGAACAAGAGAGTCCCCGCCAGAAGTGTTCTAAGAACACTTCGAGCAGACCGCAGCAGGCTCTCAGAGCACTCTCTGGCAGGCCCACCGGCGAGCTGGGTCCCGCCGCCGCTGCTTGAGAGACGGGCCACTCCTCGGCCCGGGCAGCAGCCTCCGCGAGGCCGGCCCCACTGCCGCGCCCCCCTGCGCGCTGCCCGGAGGAGGAGGAGGAGGAGGAGGAGGAGGAGGAGGAGGAGGAGGAGGAGGAGGAGGAGGAGGAGGAGGAGGAGAGGAGGAGGAGGAGGAGAGGAGGAGGAGGAGGAGGAGGAGGAGGAGGAGGAGGAGGAGGAGGACGCGCGCGCGCCCGCCCCGCGCCGGGCCCGCCAGCGGCCTCCAGGTCACTCTTCGCCTCGATGGCGCCGGGGCGGGGGATGTCTCTGCCCAGCCTGCGCGCCTCGCCAGGGGCGGAGCCGTGCGACAAGGCCAGGGCGAGGACGACAAAACGGGTGGGGATACAGTCGGGGCCTCGACCTAAGGAACCCTAAATAAGGAACGAGGCCCCTTTTTTCCATAAGCTAAACTTAGATTTACCATTGAAAACCTGAGGAAAACCCAGGGCAAACTGTAAAACAATCAAGGAACACCGAGCCCCTTCCCAACGAACAGGGTTCCTTCTTCAGCGCCCCGACTGTACATCGGGAACCTCTGGGAGATCGATCTGGCGGCTGTGGAGGGTGTCTCGGGCTCCCGGAAGGCTCTGAGCGCGTTCCGGAACGTTCTGGAACGGATGTATTCTGGTCCTAGCCCCGTCCGAAGCTAGCCAGGACGGCGCAGGCAACGGGAGAGGGGAAGAGAAGAAAGGGACCCGGAAGGGGACCGGGAAGGAATTCGGATGCAGCGACTGGGAGGTCTTCGTCGGAAGGATGAAGGAAGATTGCGCCCCACTGGGGGGGCTAAAGCGCCGGAGTAGTCCGCGGATTGAGTGGGACTAAGCGGGATTAAGCTGGATTAAACGGGATTCAGCGGGCTTGAACCGCTTTGCACTAGATTTCGGACCAGGGCAAAGCCAGAATTTGACAGGGAGGAGTGGGACGGGGGAGGAGCAGCTGGAGTGGTTGCGATCTGGGGCCGCAAAGACCAGCCCCGGGGACTGCCAGAGAGACTTCCGCCTCCTCCTCCTCGTCCCGTCGCGACCATGGAGTCCGCCGGTCAAATTCGGTGCGCGCGCGGGCGTGCGCGACCACTGTCTGACGCAAATGAGATTTCCACTCGTTCCTGCGCGCTCTCGTGTCTGTCGCAGCCTCCACGCAGAAGGGGTTGGTCCCAGACCCCTGCGTCATGATTCTGACACGACGTGGACCCCAAGAGGTCTGGACCTCTTCCCAGGGGCTGGTGAATCATCCGAAATCGTTCTGTGACGGTCCTGGGGAGCCTAAAATCACCAAAAACCTTCGCTTGTGATGTTTCACGACGCGACGGAGTCTGCACAATTAGTCGTCGATCCCTGGGAAAACATGGGCAACTATGAGAAGTGGCGGGGAGAACGAACATCAAGGAATACAATGAGGAAAGATAGGGAACCTGGGGATTCGTGTGTATATGTTTGTTGCGCGTATGGATTTGTCGTGTCTGGGCCCCCCTCGACGTTTGGGTCGTCGGCGCTGCGAGAGGGATCCCGGGCCGGCCCACGAGCGCCGAGGTCGGCGGGTGCAGCGGCCAGGGCGGTGCGAAAGCGGTGGCCTCGAGCACCTGGGCGAACTCGCTCTCGAGGGACTGGCCGCGTTTGAACTCCTCCTCGAGGGTCATCTTGACGCCCTGCGGCGTGTCCTCCCGGGCGCGTCCCAGGCAGGCCAAAGCTTGGCTCCAGAGACGGCCCCGAAGGCTCAGGAGAGTCCCAAGAGGCAAGCATCGCCTTGCGGATGCCATGACAATGGACACTCTAACAATCCGATCATTGAATTAAAGATGTGTTTAACATGTGTAAAACATGTTCTAAAACTGTTTCAAACATGTTTTTAGCAGGTTTAAAACAGATTTGAAACATCCGTTGGGCATCTGCGAATTATTTGGCAGCACGCTTCCTCTCCATTAATCGACTTCCACAAGCATCGCCCCATCCCCGACGGGAAACAAATCTCTGCAACAACTTCTTCCTTTCCGCTTGCACAGTGCGCAGCGCAGCGCAGGCGACGCCAGCCCAAGACCATCCCCAAGACGTGGGCGCGCGGAGGCGACGGGCAGCCGGAACCTGGCCCGCGCAGCGGCTACTTGGGGATTGTCAAAACAGTGGGCACAATCGCAGAAGCCGTGGCCTTCGAAAAAGACGTCGGTGTTCGCAAAACCTCGGCACCTCTCGGGCGCCCCGCCTGGAGCCGCCGTGCCCAGGACACACGGCAGCGCGCCCACTTAATCATGATTTTGCGATCTGCAGATACATGTTCAGAGTGCTCAGACTGGTGCTTGGTGTGCACTCGTGCCCACCAAGGTTATACGTGCGACGCAGTGCACACGCACATAACTATTGCAAGCTTTGGGTCCTCACGTGTAGCACCCCGATTTGCAGAAGCAAATTTCGATCTGAGTGCGCCGTTGCTGGTTCCTCAAGCATGGAGTGAAATTGATAGCGAGCCCTGGCCCGCAAGGCAAATGTTCGAAATCCACCGACCATTCGGCGTGCGGAAGACGCTCGCGTCGTCGCAGTCGTCGTCGCGGTCGTCGTCGTCGTCGTCGACGTCATCGTCATACCCAATCCTAAGGACATTGAGGAACAAAGATAAATGACGTAGACATTAAATCAAAAGGAAGACTGGGGTCCCAGCGGGTCCCGCGGGATGTCGCCCGCGGAGGTCCCTTGGGAGGTCCCACCTACATGGTCGGCGGCAACAGCCGCAAGGCCTTCGCAATGTTATCCATATTCGGCCACTTTACGAAGAATGCGCATAGCCTCCTCTAAACTAGTGTATCGCCCATCGATGAACCTGAATGCTTTGTCCCGTTCTCCGAGCAACAGCTCCACGCAGAACAGGCTGCCGCGCTGGTGAGTCCAAGAATGCTCGCAATCGGTTCATATCATATATTGTGCACAAGCTCACGCCACTTAAAATGTCGGCATGGCCTGCCCAACAATCGCCGCCATACCCTGAAACTACGTTTACCAGATCACACCGATATCTGGTCGGCGCGTTGCTCGAGTAGACAGTCGACAGCAAGTGCAACATGGAGGACTTCGTAGGCCAATGAACTCGATATCCGCTGACCCCCGCGTGCCTGTGGCTACAAGATGCGTGAAATGTTTGGCTGCTCCATTCCTCCTGCTCTTCCCCCATAAAGGGTCAATCATTTCATTTGACGAGGGCCTGGGGGGTGGGGGCACGAGCGTGTTGACGCACCTGCGAAACACAGACCCATCAAAATAGCTTCAACAACTTGCCAGTGTGGCCAACGATGCCCTCCACGATGGCTCGCTCCAGTTGCACGCCAGGCGGTTTCAAGGTGGCCGCGGACCCCTCCAAGGTATGTTCCTGAGGGTAGAACGATCCCAAATCCCCCCCATCAGACATGCATGAAAGACAGGATGACTTGCGCTCTGGCAAAAAACGGTGCCTCCAAACCCGTGGCAAGCCAGCCCCTCACTCGACTGAGATGTCGTGCGATGCTGTGCTGCGCTGCGGCCTGCTGTGCTACAGGTTCGGCAGCGTTCTCCGAACACCAGTCCAACAGCAAATACTGTTGGCGGCGCGCACAACGGGGTGGAGGGAAGGGGGGAGGGCTTCTTAGAAGGAGGCTGCTTCTTAGAAGGCGCCGGCCTTACATCTATAGGTAAGGCCCGCGCCTTCTAAGAAGCAGGGGTGCTTCTGAGAAGCCCTACCGCCTCCCCCACCCCCTCTGCGCGTGGCCGATACTGGCTGGCAGCCCGTCGCATGTCATTGAAGGCGAGGCACTGTGGCACTGATCAGTCCACAGAGCATGTATACTGCCCACTGCCGCCTCGCATACCAATATACGCATGTGTCCGAGACAATAATGCGAAAAGTAAAACACAAGGCCTATTCACTGCGCACCGTGCTCATTGAGGTGTAGGACGCCGCTTCTTGCACAAATTATTCCCCTGAACTGTGACTGCGCTCAAGGAGTCTTGCGTACCCTACGAACAATCACCAGGCTGAGTTTGTACCACGCAGCTGGTACTATACGGCTTGGCCCACATAGTTTGCGCCACATAGGTTGCACTACGTAGATTGCGCCACATACAAGCTGTGTTTAAAATATCCGCGATGCCGGCATTTACCGCCCCTGCCCCCCAAGGGTAACGTCAGGGTTCGGGCTCGCGCCGTCTAGGAATGCCTAGACAGCTAGGTTTACCATGTAAGTATGGATCCTCCCTGGATAGCTAGGCACAGCGTAAAGGATTGCTGAGAGCAGCCGCGAATATCGGATGCAAAGCATGCGAGCGTAACAACGTGCCCGCAGAAGGACCTCCTAGGTACACTCCAATGCCTGTGTACACTACAACGCCTGCGTGCAACACAACGCCTGTGAACACCACCATGATTGCGTGCACCAGTCGGCCGGTGTGAATGACAGTGCCTGGGTATACCACAGTGCCTGTGTACACCACAATGACGGTGCACGCCACAACTCCTGTTTTCACCATAAGACGTCCGTGCACTGCAATGCCTGCGCACACCGTAGCGCCTGCATGCACCCCAGAGCCCCTGTGCACCAAAGCGCATGTGTTCACCGCCACGCCTGTGTGTACATCACAAGACCTGGATGCACAACAGTGCCTATGCACACCACAGGACCTGTGTACACCACGTTGCCTGTGTCACCCATTGTTCCTGCGTGCACCACAGTGCTGGCATACACAAAAAATGGCGGTGTACACCATCACACCGTTGCAAACAACTGCTGCAGCATCAACGCAACACCTGCGTACATCACAGCGCCTGCGTACGCCACAACAACCGCGTGCACCACAACGCCAGTGCACGCCACAGACAGTGCCCACGCACAACACAGCACCGGTGTGCACCACAAGTAACGCCTGTGCATCACAGTGCCTGTGAACATCACAAAACCTGCGTACAACTTCAGGGTCCTGCTGGCGCCAAACTCTGGAAAACGTGAGGAACCCAAACGTATCAAGTTCAATACGTCCATTTTTATGGCCTCGCCTTCTTAGCCCTGGCATGGTGCCAGACCGACGCAATAGACGTCGGGGTGGCAGCCGGCCGCCTACCCTTGCCACCAAGCGGGCCGTCGGCATGGCTCGGGGTGACACGGGGCCACCCTCCGTCGCCTGGCCGCTCGAGCCGAGTGCGCCGTGCGCGGCAGCGAAGTTGCGATTGGTGCCGTGGGCGCGTCGCTGCCGCGCGGGCTCGGAGTCCCGCGCGTGCTGCCTCTTGGCGTTCGTGTGCACGGGCGCCAGCATGTCGAGAGGGCGGCGGCTCGCGCCAGCGGCACCCCACGCGACTCCCGCGGCGGCCCTCGCGCGAACGCAAGCGGCCTCGCCGACCCTCCGGACCTGGGCCTGGGGCGTCGCCTTCCGGAAAATGACCCGCTCGACGGGCTCATTCACTATGTCGTTGCCGACGACGCCGTGGGTACCGTCGGCCTTGATTGGACAGGACACGCGAGAGGACACAAGACCCTGCCGAGGGCCACATCGCCATGGGAGCGTAAGACGGCACGTGTCGCGAGGCACAGGACACAAGGGTACCCTTGAGGTGGCAGGGTCGACCTACTAATTCTGGGCCGCCTGTACACATGCGCTGGCTGTTTGCCCGCGTAGCTTGAGGCGATGCTGTGAGCAAGCATCACCGCCAACCGATATGGGTCCGACTGGAGGGGGGCACTCTTGCGAGGACCCGGCATGGAGCGGGGGTCCATCGCAAGTCCTGCTTCGTCCCAAGCTGCGCGGCGCTGGGCTTTTCTATATCTCCGACTCGTGGCAGCCCGTGACCGCCTTGTGGCTGGTTGTCCCGTGCCCGAATTGGCATTTCCACACTCGTTGCACGACCTAGACTGCCCTCACTCTCCGTATCTCATGACGAATATATGTCACGATCCTCCTCCTCCTCCTCATCCTCCCCCTCCCGTTGTACTCAAGTTCCAACGTCATCATGATCGTCATCATTATCGTCGATTCGAGCAGCTGCCAACGAGGATGCTGGGCTGGCACTTTGGCGGGACTTGCCGCAGTACACAAACATATATATATATATATAACTATACAGGTTGTCAGCATAAGTATGTGTTGAACACCTTCTCATGCTCCTCAGTCATAGGCACGTCCACATCATCCACCCGTTCCTGCTGATCAGTCTCCTGTGTCTTCGAGGTGTTGTTGGTCTGATGTGTTTTTCTCCTGCCATTCCTCCTCTTCCATTCTTTCCCTCCCGACACCTGGAAACTGGAAGCCTACACGGCGGGAATTTCGTGTGGAACATGTGGAGGACACGCACCAGATACACGCACGAAACCCGGCGTGGCTGCCCAGTCACCGAAGGGCCGAGCGCAAGAAAGGGCTCTTGGCTCTGCACGCCGCGCCGGGGAAAGCTTCGACGTCGAAGGCCTCGACGTCCACGGGGCCTCGCGACGCGAAGATCTGACGCGCCGCGCGTTCCATCCCCCACTTCTCGTTCTTGGCGAACTTCAATTTCCATACAAGGCAAGATGTCATCACATCAATGGCGTCTGCCACCGAACGCACGCAGAAGCTGTCGTTATCGCGCCAGATACGTAGCTCAGTGCAGAGGGCTTCGGGTGCATCGCAGAACTTGCTTGGGCAAATTGCTTAGACCTCTACACTCGTTTGTAGGTTG